GACATATGCTATCATTGTTGCAATCACTCCCTATTCTCAGGTTCAATGTGGATTAGGTCGAACCGGTTATCTGTGGGCACATGAAGCATACGGTGTTTTCCCTGATATAATGACGCTTGCCAAGCCTCTTGCAGGAGGTCTTCCAATAGGTGCTGCTTTAGTAACAGAAAGGGTTTCTTCCTCTATTGTCCATGGAGACCATGGAAGTACGTTTGCTGGTTCACCTCTGGTGTGCGCTGCTGCTATTGCTGTTCTAGATAAAATCGCAAATCCTAGCTTATTGTCTAGCGTCTTGAAGAAAGGTCATTACTTCAAAGAACTGTTAACCCAAAAGCTCATAGGAAATCTGCATGTGAAAGAAGTGCGAGGTTATGGTCTTATAATCGGAATAGAGCTGGATGTGTCGGCTTCACCACTCGTCGATGCATGTAGAGAGTCGGGTCTTATAGTATTAACAGCAGGGAAAGGAAATGTGGTGAGACTGGTGCCACCATTGATCATCTCAGAGAAAGAATTGGAACATGCAGCTGAGATTTTACATGAATGTTTACCTGCACTTGATAGCAGTAACTGAGGTCAGGAGAATTGGCTACAGCATTTTCGGAATATCCAAGTGTTTTGTGGGAATTTGAAGATGTAGTGTTGAATAAATAGGACAACCAAACTCCCATAATTATTCAAAATTTTCAACTCAAGCTGTCGTTTTGATCCATGCAATCTGTTTTGTTCAAGGAACATGCTGTAATTTTCTTCCTCATTAGGGAAAAGGAACCATTTCATTAGAATATTAAATGTACAAATAGCACGAATGAAACAATCTTAGTGGTTAAAAGGTATGGTTGATATCTTTAGATGTCCCGGGTTTGAGTATAACGTTTGCAGAGGTGTTTAAACGTTCATTGTCATTGTAAATTATTTGAGAATCTTGTGAACATATTTTTTTTTGAAAGATAAGAGAGGCTTCGTTAAAAACCCATCGTAACTTGATCGAACCAAAGCTCAATCAAGATATAGGAACCCCTTGTAACTTTATCGAACCAAAGCTCAATCAAAACATCGGAAGGGGAAAAGAGTGCCCATACTTTTATTAAAATGCATCAGTTACATACTAGACATCCATACCCAGAACCAACATATGACAAATCAAACCTGAACTAATGACTAAATCACCTTAACAAAACACCAAAGCTAATGCTCATGTAAGGCAGCTCCCACGAGGGCAACTCTGAATCTGGAACGGCACCGCTAGCGAGGGCCAGCACCAGGAGTAGCCCAACACTGACTCATCCAATTCTCAAGGAATGAAAACCAAACCAAACTAATCCAGAGACAACACTATCAATTTGCAGAGGAGAAACATCCCTTGTACGAATTAGCAACAATATTCGAACCAGACCAAGTAATCCCAAGCAACTTCTAAGAGGCGCCAATCCCATACAAAAACTGTACCTGCTTTCACCTCCACTCGCCACGCTACAGCCACCATAACCATGATATTTGCAATCAAATCAAAAAACAGCAGTACAAGCCAATCTGATATGTTGAATGTCAATCAATCCCCCTTTTAACGAGCAAATCCGCTTCCATATCGATGACCCTCGGGATATGTCTGAACGAAAGCCAGTCACCAACAGTGAGCTCCAAGATGTTTCGAACCTCAGACGGAAACATTGGAGTGGTCTTAGAAGGATTCGAGAGCCAATTTAGAGTCACATCCAATGATTAGATTCTTCCTATTAAACCATTCAGATTCCATGAAAATACTAATCCCAATTTTGATAGCAAGCACCTCCATCAGCGTAGCAGAACCTGCTCCAACACCACGGGAGAATGACAGAAGGATTTTACCTTCTTCATCCCGAAGAAAGCCCCGACTCCCCCTAATTTATCTGTTTCCTTGTAAGCCTCGTCGACATTCATTTTCAGCCAGCCGATAGGGGGAGAGCACCAAGCAATGAGGACTGATGTGGAGCAGGGAATAGACAGAGTGTTATCGGCCCTAGGAAGGTCGGCTATGAAGTCATTTATGGAGAATTTTGCTTCTGGATACTTAGCCATACACCAACAAGCAATTCTATACTTTACAAGGAAGATTAGTCGAAGAAAATCCATTTTCATCCCTTTAAACGTGACTTCATTTCTAAACAGCCAGATTGATCATATTACGGCGAAGGAGAGGATTTTCCAAATGCAGTTTCGAGTCTCCTTACCCCCAGAGCATCCTCCGAGACGACAACAAAAGATACAGGATCTTGGGAGAGAATCACAGAGATATTCCACAACGCAAGGAAATGCGACCAGACCTGCCAAGATATGTAACAAGAAAAGAATAAGAGTTCAATCGATTCAGGAAGCAAAGGACAGATTCGATCGACTATACTCCCCCTTTTCAACAATTCGATTTTAACAGGAGCCCGACAATGAAGCACTAACCACACGAAAGATTCAACTCTAGGTGGCGTCATGCCACATCAAACCATCTTTTTCCAATTGAAGCTAGCAGGGGAGAGCAGAGATCTTACTGACTTGATTGAAAAGGAGTTATCAGACGCTCTTCCCCACTTAATCCTTCTCCACAGCCGACCCTTTAAAATTAGTAATTAAGTTATAGAACTAATTCCACTGAGAGGATTCTCAGCCGAAAATTCTTCTCCTTAGCACGATATTTCACTGCCAGTTCAAGCCGTTTCTGAACCCAAAGCTGTTGAAATTGCCCGGTTTGTTAAAGGCTAGAGCAAAGATTCTCAGTAAGAGGTTTTTGAGGGGGTCGGTTCCTAATCCCGGGATCAGACCAGAATTTAACGTTGTTTCCGTCTCCAATTTGATACTTCATATCGTCTCTGAGGCAAGTGCCGACATCATCCGGTTCATGGAACGACTTCAACACACCTTTCCACGTCCAAGAAACTCGTCTGGATACTTCTTAAGGGGGAGAAAATTCGGCAGAGTATTTATTTTTGCATATTACTATCTTTTTTCATAGGCTGTCATTTTCATTACGATATCCATTTTACAAGTAGAACACGGTTCAAAATCGCCAAATTTAGAACTCCCAACCACCGTCAAATCCATTTGGATCGACTTTCAGACCAGAACCAATTTCAAAGACTCGAAGCATACTTTTAATATTCCTAACCTATCTTTCCTCAGCTTCACAAAATATTATCAAGTCATCTGTATATTGAAAATGCGAAACAATTTGTGTATTAGACCACCACCAATAGAGACACCAGTAAACAGACCAAAATTACAAGTCTTTATTAGCATCAAATTTAAAGCTTCAACAACAAGATTGAACGACAACGAGGAGAGACGACCCCTTGCAGGAGACCACGGGACAGCTTTAACTTATTTGTAGGCGAACCGTTCACTATGATTGTAATCTGGGCAGCAGAGATACATTAAAATATCCATTTACATCATCAATCTCTGAAACCCATTTTTTAGGACCCCAATTAGAAAATCTCGGTCAACAATGTCGTAGGTCTTTTGAAAGCCTAATTTGAATATGATTCCTTTAGGGCCAGATTTGACTACGAGTTGATAGTTTCATTAGCAAGTAGTGGGCAATCTAAAATTTGCCAACCAAGGATAAAAGCAAACGGTGATTTTCCTATCAAGCAATCAATAACACTTCGAAGCTTGTTGACTAAAACTTTGTCCAAGATTTTGTAGACCCACTGACAAGGCTGACCGGTCGATCATCCTCTATGAAAGTTGGATTATGATTCTTTGGGATCAGGGTAATGAATGAGAAATTAATGGATCGCTCCCAATTGCGATGATGATAAAAGTTGTTGAGAAATTAGACTATTTCATCCTTGATTAGAGGCCAAAATTTCGTGAAGAAACCATCATTAAATCCATCCGGTCCAAGAGCACTATTACTATCCGAAGAGTTCACGACACCCAAAATCTCTTCCACTGAAAATCGAGTTTTCAGATCACTCGTCTAGAAAAATTCAGCAGCAACTCCAACCTCTAGGGCAGATTGCATTTTGGAAATGACCATAGATAAATGCTTTGACTCCATCAGGATCAAAAATCATATTGGACACATCATCATTGAACCACTTGACTCTAGATTTTTGCAACCAAACATGTTCCTCATTTCTGATTTTTTGTCATAGTTGGCCGCGAAGGTGGTTGATTTCGGTCGCGATATTAGGACTGAGAACCCAACTTTATAACTTCGCTTCCGGTATGCTGATCTTGCCTTCCAATTCAGAGATGGATTTTTTAAATCATGGCTCCTTTCTTTCGACCACGCTTGAATGGCAATTTTAGAAGTGGAAAGAGGCTGCCAATTCCAAGACTTGTATGTTTTCTTCCCTTCACTTATGGCCTGCTTGACCACCTCCTCAAACCAATAATTGAAACATTTGAAAGGTCTAGGGCCCCAATTTTGTCTTGCCTCCTCTAGTAGAATTGCACTATGGTCCATTGAGAAGAAGATCAATGATCCTATATGAAATCTCTGACTAAATTCATGGAGGAGTTCCAAGATAAGCCGATTTTTTTCCTCCAGATGAAGAACAGAATTAAAGTCTCCACCTAAGCATCATGGGATGTTATAGCTGCTTAGGACCGAACGGATCTCCGAGAAGAAACCACCTTTTTTCTCATCTACATTAGGATCATATATATTCATAAAGCCACGTATCAAATTAGTTCCTCTGATCTGGCTGATGATAGTTATGTACTGGTTTGAGATCAGTTTACTCGAGTTTGAAAGAAATTTAGATTTCATATGAAGAGGAGACCACCTTTTTTTATCAAATTGACTCGAATATATTGGAACAATAATTATTTGAAAGAGCTATTTAGTTTTCCTGGCTTCTCTTCAATGGAAGATGCGTGGATATGGTAACGAGATGATATTTGGGTTGTTGATGATGATGATGATGATGTGTTTGAGGACCAAATTGATAAAATTTATAAATGTGATGGATTTGTAGAATTATTTACAATTAAGATCAAATTAATAGAATGGACAAACGTTGAGGATCAAATGTTTTATTATACCAATTAAAACAGTAACATCATTGTTTCCATTAAGGCATTAAGTGATACAATTGAAAGTTGATATAATTTAGTGACAGAATAGTAAAAAGAAAATCATTGTTGAGAAAGAAAAAATCTACTCAAATAGGATAGGGTTCCTCCCTTCATCGATTTCAATCACCAGGAGATGCTTCGGATCCGATCCGTTTGGTCCTTCGGAGTACAGTGTAGGAAGGTAAGCCTTGTAAGCCGGCAAATATCGTGATACGAAATCGCTCACCTGTCGAACATTCCCCCATGCTTCGAGTCAATTAAATAAGCAATATATTCGTATCCAACACTCGCATGTCTGAGTAGCACAAGGCATATAGATAATTTGCTACATGTTATGTTACCCGAGACTCGAGTGCGAGTTTAGACACGAGTGCCTACATTCTAATTTCATGTATTTGGAAGATCTAATCTCAATACACATATCTTAACATTTATCGGATATGAATACCAAACACGAATACTTCACCAAAGATGAAAAATCCGAACAAATGTAATACATTACATAACAGGTAAACGTACCTCCTCGTCGGACATTCCAGGTTTGCCTGCATCCCTCATCGCAATCTCAGCCTGCCCAAAACCATTTGAAGAAGAAAAACAAAATGATAAATTTCATCAATGATTGACAATAAAGGATGGTTTTTCCCCTTAAGGATGAGGTGATTAGTTGATAGGAATGACTTTTAGAATAAGAAACCGAACCTGGAGACGCCACCGGTAGACACAACTTGGGTCCTGAATTTTTATAACAATCCATGCCTTAATGAACTTGTCCCATGCATCATAATATGCTTCCAGATTTTTATTTACGGTTTCCAGCTGTACATGTAAACATCAGCTTGATCTATAACAAATAAAATCGAATGCAGGTATAAGATGCAGCTATTTTTATGTATTTTTAAAGTTTTTTCATGTATTTGGCAAGTCTTGGGAAGATATTATTCTCTTATCCGTATTCAAATATTGCATGTCGAACACGGGTGCTTCATGACAAATAACGAGTTGGAGCAACACAAAACATCTCTAAGTGGTCCTTGAATACTTTTGGAGTTTGGTCCCCTGTTGTTCAAACTCAGGTGCGAATATCGGATATGACACATTTTTTTTCATGTATTTGGAGGGTCGATTGAGAGTCATATCCCATGTATACGTCTCAATGTATATCGAACGGGGATATTTCATGCAAAATGAAGAACTAAAGTAACATAGGTCTAACCTGTGGATCAACAGCTTTAACAACTTCAGTAGGAAGGGGTTTAAATCCCAGCATCCAACCCTCATATAAGATAACCTGAACCCGAATAACACGACTTATTGATTACTTTTCAGACAAATATAAATCCGAAAAGAAAAAAAAAATGTACCCATAATCCCCCAGCTCAGCTCTAGCTGAAGAGTCTCTTACCGTTAATGGTCCTTCAACCTCCGGCCATATCGAAGGGTCGGCTCTGTCACCCTTACCTCTATATGCAGACTGTAAAGAACAACAGTATTATAATGAGAAAAATTCAAAAAAAAAACTCAAGTGAAAAACAATTAAAATCGATAATGTCAGGCTTACTTTATCATATCGAGGAAGTTTCATCTTCATACCTGTATTTAAACAAAATCAACCATAAGATGATGGATAAACAGACAATCATACCGAGGAAGGATGAGTGAAGAGAAGAAAGAATACCTTCTTTAGTCAACTTGCTTAGAGCTGTCAGTGTTTCAACGGAGAATGGAAGATCATGGCTCCCAGCATTTCCACGTAACTGAAACAAGAAATATCGCATGTTAGGGAGACTACCAAAACGAGTATGTGTCAGATATAATTATGTGTCTAATATCAATACATTTAACTTCTTCCTATGTCTTTTATGTATTTTGAAGGTTCATGGAGGGTCATATCTCCTTATTCACGTCCAGACATGAGTCATACACGGATGTTGAACACAAATAGTTCAAAGAAAACGAAACATCGAAGTAGCATAGAAACAAATTATCCCACATTTAAGTAAAAGAAAAGTCAACAGGCACCTCCAAAAGTGCATTTCCCGGGTTCTCTTCCCTAAGTTTGGCCTATCGTCAACGTAAACTGTGTTAGAAACGGATAAGAAAAACTGAAGAAAAGTTCAGCAAATGAATTACTTATTAAATTCCTTTTGCTCCACATTATTACCTGACCATCTGCTGTCAAATAGAAATCGTCAATGGATAATGTTGCAGACTTCCTGCGATTAAGTTGGATTGTCGGTAGTTTCAATTGTTTCTACTTTCTCAGTTTATACTACGAATATGAGTCAAACGAGATATGAATTACTTATTAAATTCCTTTTGCTCTTCTAGCTACCTGCCAGTAATCCTGAAAAGATAATCTAGAGCAAAGACGAGTGTTGTCTTTCCACAACCCTGTGGTGCACTGAAACCAATCTGCATCACAAAGACAATCAACCAAATAGCCAACGTACATTACTCGAAATTGAAATGTTAATATGTGACATTACTCGAATTGAAATGTGACGGCAGAGATGGGTATGTATTAGATATGAGTATGTTCAAATTTTCTAAGGTTTCTTTTTCATGTCTTTCAAGGAACCTTAGCGGATCAGATACGATAGTAATGTACAAATATGCACCAGACATTGATATAGGCACAAAGTCTTCAGCAATAAGAACCTTTTACTATATCCGAATCCTAATGAAAATGGAATCCAAAACAGTACTGAAAATTGTAAAGGGAAATTGAACACAACACACACAACAATCATTTGAAGACATTATCCATACCACTAAGGGAGGAATTTCTTCCTCGTCTTTGAACTTGGACCTGTGTTCTGATATCTGGTCTTCACACCAGAAAAAGACTGGTATGTAATAGTGATAAAACCTTGCCTTCTCGGGAATGGTAAGGTAAAGTTCATTGAGCTGAAACAACCGACAAAGCTTTGATCCATAAAACAACCACTTGTCAATAGATTCCGCCACCTTTTCAGCAGTCAGTCCAACTTTGTCCAAAAGGGGACCAGAGCATATGAAATCATAAAGGTCCTGTACAGCGGAAACTTGTGCAGGTTGTGTGGGAAACGCTGAATATATTGAACCCTCCCTTAATCCTCTACAACTACTGGCATCGTGATTCATGGTGGTATCTTGCAACCATGAGCTGCCACTGCCTGCAGAAAAAATACAAAAACGAAGAGAAGGCAGATTTACTAAACATAAACCACGTTCAACAGCACTGGGGGTTTCGGGATGTATCTGTTCAATTTTTCTAAGATTTTCTATGTATTTTGATGGTTCTTAAAGGATCACATTTTTGTCCGTGTATTGTTTGATTCGAAGAAAAATGAAGAGCTGAACAACATATTAAAAAAACTCTTTTCTGCATAAGATTAGGAACCTTATACATCCAACGTTAGTCATTTGAATGTCTACTTAAAATTTCCAAAATTGGTTTACTATAAGAAAAAAAAACGGCCCCAAAAAATAGGGGCCCCGAATCGAATATATGTATCAATTGTTCCATTAATAATTATAAAAATAGGGGTCCCGAAATCGAATATATCTCAGTTGTTGCCATTAATAAGCATAAAAATAGGGGCCCAAAATCGAGTATATCTATCAGTTGTTGCTATTAAGAAGCATAAAAATAGAGATCCGGGAATCGAATACATCTAAAAAACAGGGCCCTTTATAAGAATTTGCACAGGGCCCTTTATACCTAGCCACGGCCCTGCTACTCCATACTGAAGATTTCAAGTTTTAAAAACCATAAAAACAAGAAAAGAAAGCAATTAACAGTTCATGACAGAGTAAATCTATAAACAGAAGAAACATGTCTAGTTCTCATTATAATATAACATCAGTAGATTAGGTTTTTGCTCCATTTTGTTTTTTCCTAATTACTTGTAAACCATCATTAAATTCCTAACTGAAGCATCCCAAATTATTTTCAATACCCATTAAGAAACAAAAGAAGAAGTTACCAAAAGTTCCAATTTTCTTAATCGTATCCAACCTTTTCAAGTGGCTACCATTTGAACAAGTAGATAAATAGAACATGAACCATAAAAAATAAAAGCTTGTAATAAAATCAATGAGACACACATATACAGAGAGAGATACCTGAAGTAGAGAAATGGGTTGATGGAATAATTGATGTGGCTTGTGAAGAAAGAGAAGGGAAAGCAAGGGAAGGATTAGGATGATGATAACTAAGCAAAGAGGACTTTGCTTTGTGAATTCTTTTAGTATGATTAATATAAACATTTTGGTTTTGAGAATAATGATGGGAAATTCTATTACTAAAATGCAAGGAGGTGGCGTGGCATGGCGTTAGCGTTGTCAAAGCTGCCATTTTTTAATTTCTTCTCTCGGTGGAGAAGAAGGTGGACGTACCAAAGGTAATCGATTGGGATGGGGTTTCGGCATTTTAAGGTTTTTATTAAACCTCTTTTTTTTTCCTATTTATGTTTGGGTAAACTACACTTTTAGTTGTAAACTATTAATTTTATTTTATTTTAGTATCTAAACTTTCATTTATTTTCAAACCATACCTAATGTTTACTTTTTGTTTTATTTTAGTACCGGCTGTATTTTTTATGCGTAAATTACATCCTTCATCACTCAACTATTTTTTTTATTCCTATTTTAGTCATTAAAGTTTAAAAGTTTTCAGTTTAACTACTCAACTTTCAAATTGCTCTTATTTTAATCACTCTAATTTATTTTATCAATAATTTTATGACATGAAGTTTATTATTATTATTTTTATTAATATATATTTAAAATAAAAAAATTAAATTTGAAAGTTAGAGTGATTAAATTAAGAGTAATTTGAAAGTTAAGTAATTAAATTTAAAACATTTAAACTTCAATGAACAAAATAAGAGTGAGAAGATAGTTGAGTGATGAATTTTATAATCTACCCATAAAAAGTGCCATGTACAACGGTTCCGTTAATTTTTTTTACGGCGAGATACCAAAAACGAAATAAAAAAATAAATGTTAAGTATAATTTTGAAACAAATGAAAATTTAGGTACTAAAATGAAATAAAATAGATAATTTAGATACTAAATGTGTAGTTTACCCTATTTTATTTTATCTTCTTGGACTCGTATAGGTAAATTACACAATCACTTAATTATAAATTTAATAATAAATAAATTATTTAATTAAAATATTATTGTAAATAAATTATTTTATTATTAAAACTAAAATAAATATTTCGGAGATTGGAACTCCAGAATGTTGCGTTTTTAGTAAAAATTGTGTTTAATATTTTAGCAAGGAAGGATTATTAGTGGGTGAGATTTTTAAGAGCCAAGTATAAAATGCACGGAGGTGTCGGAGGTGCATCGTAACTCGAATTGTTCAAAGCTATGAAAGGATTTGGCGTGCGTTTGGGAGGATGTAAAACGCCAGATCACTTGGTGATTTGGCCATGTTTGGGACTTTTATTTTTATTTCGATAATTGGTTCACCTATTGCGGTCCTATAATTAATCATGTTACGGTTGCTGGAGCGGACATGCAATGGGTCACGGTTGTTGACATGGCGGATGATATGGGAGAGTGGAAGTGGCACCAGTTTGAACAATATCTTCCCTTGAACGTTCTGCTGTGCATTGCTACGATTAAGGGACCTCAGCTTCCTCTTGGTCCGGCAACTATAGGTTGGAGTCCTCGTGATGATTGTAGCTTCTCGATGAAAACAACCTACGAGGTTCGGGAGAGGAGTAATGGTGGCATTCAGTGTGATGTATGGAGCGTTCTTGCTAAGTTTAAGGGTCTCCAGAAGTTGAAGATGTTCTTATGGCTAGTGTAGTGTGATAGGGTTTTAACCAGTATGAAGAGTAAGTGACGTCACCTAACTATGGATAGTCGTTGTCCTTCTTGTGCTGACCCTATGGAAGATACTAGCCATCTGTTACGTCAGTGTTTAACGACATTGTTTGTTTGGCGTTCAATTGTGAAAACGAAGAGGTTGTAAGATTTCTTAACGATGGATCTGAAAGATTAGATTAGAATGACTATTAGCGACCATCGTGTGTTCGTCGAGAATGTTGAGAGTTGGGATATTCTCTTTAGCGCGATTGTTTGGAACCTATAAATTTTGTGTAATGCAGTGGCCTTTGACAAACCTTTGGAGGATAAACATTTGTTCTTGAGTGAAGTAAACAGTGAATGGAGATCATTGGTCATGCGATGGATAGAGGGGCGACTCGCCCTATCTTCATGAGTCGGGGAAACTCTGAAGTTTTAAGTTGGTGACCACCTCCGACTGGTTGGTTTAAAGTGAACACTAATGGAGCTTGACAGAGGGAAATCAGGCTGGCAACTTGTGGCGAGTGGTTCATGATAGTGCTTGCGCGTGAAGAATGGGTTTTGCTAAGTTTATCGGTTGCTGCTCTGTTCTAGAAACGAAGCTATAGGGCGTTTACATGGGATTTTCATGTGCTTGGGACATCGAAAGTTGGCAAATAAACCTAGAGACTAACAACCTTGAAACGGTCAATTGCATTCAAGGATGGAAAGCTACTAATTACCGATTATTGATTTTGTGACATGTTGTGACCGTGTTACGAAGAGACTGGGTTGTTCAGATTTGTCATGTGCCTCGGACGGGTAACTTGACTGCATATTGTATGGCGACAATGGTGAATATGAGTTGTTGTGTGTTGTGTGTGCTTAATATTGAACGCAAATGATGTGCAAGTATACACAATCACATAAGTAGTACAGTGATGAGTGAGTATTGTATCCACAGAGATTGGTGGGAATTTATAAGTTTAGTCAAAGCAAAGAAATACTTTATCTAAGTATAGTTAAGATGATGATATATACAAATGATTATGCCTAGCAAATGAAATATTTAAGAGTGGAATCAAAATGGTGGTACGATGGGTAGCAAATGGAAATGTCGTGGCAAAGGAAATGTTTATAGTGGCAAAGGAAATGTTTATAGTCTGAATAAGTGAAAATATCAAGGCAATACAAAATGGTAAATACGCAGAATAAATGAAATAACTTGATAATCCTCACATGGGAAGCTTATATGGGAATGAATGGTGGGGAATCACTTAGGAAACTTAAAACTTATCTCTTAAGTTGATTTAGTCTTTTAGTGTCTTACTTGTTCGTCGGAGTTTACTAAAGATGTTCTATGCTATATCTATTCTAAGAACCTAACAGAATAGGACGCCACGACATCTCCTCTCGACCTGAGCAATGACACACTAAACCATTGATTACGCTTTACCCCTCTTAGTCGTTGAAATCCTAGTTTAGTTTCTCTCGAATACTAATGGATTAGGTTCTAGAAATTAACTACAACCCATTGCTTATGCTAACCTTACTTTAGTTTCTCTCGAATACTAAATAGTTAGTGACTACGTTTCTCTCGAACACCTAGTCTTCTACTTAAGAAATGAACACTCTCATGTCACCTACAATCTTAAGAGATTAAGAACTCATAAGCAAAACAAGTAATAAGCAAAAGAAAACATGAATCAACCATTCAAAATAAAGTTTAAAGCATCCATCAATGAACTCCACCAAATATAGTCTAGTTCATGGTATGTTTGAATAAACCATGGAAAATCCAAACTTATTCATTCGTTCTTTACAACCCAATCGAAGATCAATAATAAAATGGAGCAAATGTTGGAGAAGAAAGCACTAGATGTGCACGGCTAACGCTTCCTTCAAACCACCAATAATGACATAAGCAACTAGCTCCTCTCGGATACAAACGCCACTCCCTCGAGCTTCACCAATGGAGGAAAACCACTAAAAATAGATGGGAAAAAGAAAAAAAGAAGTTGAGCTTGTCAATTGAGGAAGAGAGAGTTGGAGAAGATGATGAATCCCCCCCAAAATAGTTTCATTTTCTTTATAAATCTAAGGAATATTCTTAGAGAATTTTTCCCAAAATTCCCATTATACCCCCAAGTACACTCCAAATGCATGAAGGTTGATTCCATAGGTGGAAGTCGATCCTATTCATGTTGTTACCAGCACAAAACATGTGCTAATAACAGTTGTCATTTGCGAAAATATCTTTTTGTTCTTTTCTACGCCAGAAATGCCAAGGCATTGCAGCTTGCTTCAGCAATTTGAGATGTCGTGACATTCTTCTCTTCTCGCCTTATGATTCTTGTTTCCTGCACATCACCAAATAGCCACACCTTTCCCATCATATAGCACCTTCACAAAGTAAAATACAATGGCAAACACAACCACCAAAATACAACTATATAAAACTACATGCACCTAAAATGACCTATATGAGCATTTAGACAATCAATAACTTAAGTTAAAATGCTTTAAAAGTAGCCTTTTTACGGAGTTGTCATACCCCCAAACTTAATCTATTGCTTGTCCTCAAGCAATGGATAGCAGTTAACACAATCAAAATGTCATGGTAATTTTCAACAATAAGACAATGTGATACAATTGAATTTCAACCCTCAGAAAAATGGCTTCAACGTGCTAGACATACCAAGAAATCTAGTATTTTTCCTTAGGGCAAGATTTTTTTTGGTTGTGTGTGTGCGTGATTGTATCTAATCTATACTTAACGAATCTAGACAATTTCTAATTAAGTTCCCTAATTTTGTCACAACATTTGTTCATTCATTAAACACACTTTTACTCCCCTTTACTTAACACTTTAATTAAACTTTTTTTAATATAAGTGTTGTTACGATGAGAGTCAACTTGTCATAACTTCCATCCCACACTCTTGATGAATAAGAGTATACCTTTCATCCCCGAGCTAGTCAGACAGAGTCACCCCGTGACTAATTTCATTCACTCGTATGCATATGGCTGCCATTTATTAAAATACAGTATCCAGGCAAAGAGGAGTGTCCCTCTACAGCTATGTCAAATCATTTATTCATGGTTAAACAAAATTCAACACAAGGGGATCCTTTAAATATTCATTTATCATTTAAGAACAACATCAAAAAAAATTATGGCAAGGAAAACTAAAGTTCTTTGATAAAAACTTCCTAAATTCCTTAAGCATTAGAGACATACAAATTGTGTAAGAATAATCCACAAAGTACTAAGTCCTAGAGTTGGTTTTATCATTCTCAATAGTCATGTACATTCAATTTCTAGCCTAAAGAATTCATCATCATTGGGCATCATCAAATCATTTCATCAAACTGTCTTACCATTTACTGATGTCATGGCATAATTTTCTGCTAACACTATCATGCAAATGTCCTACAAAGGATATTACTTCCCCAAAACTTGAGAGAAGCATTGCCCTCAATGCTTAAAATGACTAAGTAACTACTTAAACTAAATGTTATGTCATACAATACAAAATTAGATGTGGTACCTCAATGTCTATGATGGTGGTGTTTAGGTGAAAGTGCTTTC